TTGCAACAGTTAATTTAAGAAGTTTTAGTGTTTTACCAGCCATTATATGATAAATGTCCTGGGGTGACTGGAGATGTCATTCATGTTGAAGTTCATCAAGTATTAGAAACTATTTTTGTAGACCATATCTTTTGGCAATATTATTTTGTTGCATAATCGTTGGTGCTGCAAAAATGTCCTCAAACTGAGTATTTGTAATATGGTAATAATGGGAAATGCTAGCAATATCTAAGTTTTCGTCTGTTAAATTTTCTCTTAAAACTAAACATGTCCTGCATCCTCTCATCGCACCATGTCATTTTACTTCTACTAAATCATTATTCTGGAAGATAGGGATAATAAAAAAAAACAGGTTTAACCATTTTTCATTGATTTAAAACAACTAATAATTTAAAATATTTAAATCTGAATTTAAATATAGTTAATATTTTAATCATCACTTGTTTTTAATTACATAACAAAAAACTTTTGCTATCTTACCTGGGGAAGATCCACTATAGTGCATTCAAGACTGGTAATGACTCAGTAATCATTTCCTTGGACATTTATTAGTGTCCCTCTCTCATATTGCTTCATATCCAAGACAAATGGACGAATAAAATCATTAAAGTTCCCTCCAAAAGGGACAAACCCTAGAACAAAGTGGTTGCGTAAATGCTTTCTAACATCGAATGGCATGTTTCCTAGTTGCACATAGACTTTGCCTAAAGAATAATAGCCATTCCAATATGTACCAAAATCATCATAGTAAAGGTCAATAAATAACTTTAAAATTTTAAGATAGTTATATTGTGGTAGTGGTGCAATTAAAGTAGTATATTCACATAGATGCATATAATCTAAATTTATATTCTGTAGTTTCCAATGACCATTGTTTTTATACAAAATTTCTTTAATAAAAAGACTACTCAAAATGTTTGAAGTGTGAACAATTGAGATATTAATTCTTTTAATAATTTTGTTTGTTTCAACTATAATACCTCCTTCTGCCAAATATTGATCTACTAACCACAACTGTGATTTTTGCGTAGCAGACTGTGCACTATTATGAAAGTTGGCAGGTAATTCGTTATATACGTAAATCCGTTAGATTTTTATGTGAAGATCATTGTTAATAGAAATTATTAAACATATTCGTCCAAATCTTCGCTCATTATTTTCTTTATATATAATAAATTCTCCCAGATGATAATGTTCTGTCATTATAATTGTATTCATATTACAAAAAAAAATGTTATATAGTAAAAATAACATAAAATTTTAAGCAATTATTTTATTATCACACCTAATTATTCTAGTAGTAATAACTTTAACATGACTATGCTTACAAATAATATAAAATTAATACCTTGGTTAATAATTATTTTATCTTGGCCGAGTAATAGCAACTCAGCCCAAAGATTGCTATACCAATATTTCTTTTTATCTTCAACTTCAATCCCTAGTCCAAAGTATAATATATTATATAGTGATAGATTGTTCAAGATATTCCAAATTATATCGAAAATAGAAAGGTAATAACAAGGCTTCATTTCTTTAGATATTGATGGGTTTTTTTTTGGTTAATGTTTACAGAACATGTTCTTATTAGCATCAATGGTAATCGATTTCTCCAGTGCCGAAATCTTCTTACATTCATTACAATATCACCAACATTGAAAGCTGGATTTTGTAATATACATACAAGATCATTATACATGCCTGTTGCTATAAAATATATTATTAGTTATTATTACAGTTTAAAATTATAATAAGAACATATCAAGTTAATTTTTTGGTTCTCACGACATAAAATTAAAAAAAACCTGGCACTCAGCTTTTAATCTTTTGAAAAAGTTGTATATAAAAATTTTGACTTGATTTTTAAAAACCATCTAGATAATAAATATGCTTGAACTTTTTTTCTTAAGCTTTAGTAAAATGTTTATCTAGCTAAGTTATAAGAACTAAAAAATTAACATTGCTTGGCCTAAGTTATTGTATTAAATAAAAACCTACACATATTGTGCTTCTGTCTGTAGCAAAATAGTAATGCAGAGGTCAGATTCTTAAAGTATAATGCAGTATTCAACATCTGGTTTATACCTATCAGTGAGTCAACAATCTGATCTTCATCTATAACATTATCATTATTACTGTCGCTATTGTCATCCTCCTCTATTATGTAGTCATTCTCTAGCATTTCTATTTTGTCCAGCATTTCAATTTGCTCAATTTCGTCTTACAGATTACTCTCATCTTGGGAATCAATTTCATTTTGCGAATCCATTTCATCTTGCGAATCCATTTCATTTTGTGAATCCATTTTATCTTGCAAATAACTCTCATCTTGAGAATCCATTTCATTTTGCGAATCCATTTCATCTTGCAAATCTATTTCATCTTGCAAATCTATTTCATATTGTGAATCCAGTTCATTTTGTGAATTCATTTCATCCTGTGGTTCCTCTTTGTCACTTATATTTGATTCTATATAAAGATATAAAATATAAGATACAAGTGTAAGTTTTCATAATACAGATCAACAAGTTTTTTTGAATAAGGTAAATTTGAGTATTGGAGCA